TTGTTTTCTTTTTTCCTGATATTGAAGTTTTACTACGATTAACATATAAAAGTGAGATTTTTCATTTATAAACAAGGGAGGTTAAGTAGAGATTTGCAGGATAAAAATCGATTCTAAAGCAAGGGTTCAATATGGTACTGTTAAATAAACTGCGCTTCCTGAGATACCATTCAAAATCACTCCGGATAGAGCTTTCACGAAGGAACGTGAGCAAGCACGAATCAATCATAAAAAATTCGTAATGTTACTAATAACCATAGATTTTACAATGCTTTGTAATGCCGTTTTGTTTAGTGAGTGAATTGTTTCAATTAGCTAAGACAATCATTAACAATAAATGTATTTCCTTTGAAAAGCTGTTTTAATGGTTCTGACATGTTTACAAACAATTACTCATCATCATAAGTTCTCATGCCTTATAAATCCGATATCTTCATCTAATTTGCTTTTGACGACTTTTTTCTCTCTGTAATTACATGAAGAAAAATGGCTAGATACTAAGAAATAAAATTTACTTCCTGTTATTATCAAGACGGCTAATGTGTAGCAGATCGGACCTCACCGAAATTAAAAAGCTTAAGTAGCTTGTGTCTATTCCATGTCTAATCTTATCCGGACGTAATAACTATAGAGAATGACCGCATTTAACATTAATACTAGACAACATAAATGGCTGTAAAGTTGACCAGTTTCACGGGGTGCCAATGAGGTGACCACTTGATGTCGACTGTAAAGTTGGAAATGTACAGTAGTGAAATTGAGCATAAGAGAAAATCGTCGCAGATGGAGAGACAATATTTCAGTCCATTTACAGTAAATAAGGAAGCGAAAGACGTGCACGAGCCGAGAAAGCTGAGATATAAATTTTCAAATGGATGGGATTGAATGTTATTAAACTGTGCTTACAATTGTAGAGCCTTTATCTTTGAACTCATATCATTTGTTATACCTTAAAGATAATCTTAAATTGACATGGCCAAAAAATACAATTTTATACAAAATACATGTATATCCAAACACGAAGTTTTAATTTTCAATTTTGTGCTTGCTAATATGAATGAAATCCGACTGATATAACTTGTCTAGATCACATAACGTCAATTCTGAACTGCGGTTATTACCGTCATGAGCTGCACAATGATATGCGATAGAATTTCCTAATAGGAAAAGATATGATCAATGAACTTGATATCAAATATAAATGTATGAGCGTGTAATAAAGAGAAAAGATACTAAATACCAGGAGCTCGTTTCTGCACAGGCCACCCCTATCATCGGAAGACATTGAACTATAAAAGAAAAGTTAATATACCAACCGTGACTAAGAAATGACTTTAAATGCAGAACAGAGGAAACAGAATATTCCCAGGTAATGAAAGCGTAATTAAGATGAAGTGTTAAGTATGTGAAGGGTGTAATTACAGTTGTAATGATGCTCATTACTAGATAGATAGCCTTTTTCCTAACAGCTTTTAGTTCGAGGTCAGTTCTATGCCGGACACGATGACCAATAACTGACGGTGCTGATGGAAACTGGCCGATAATCAGCTAATTTAGGACAAAAGTCCCTAATGACGCGTCCTGTAATTTCCATGGAGTACAAGTTCTACCGGTGTGTCATTTCCTTAATGGAAAAAAATATTACGGTCAGATTGTTATTTCTATTTCCAGATATTCCACATTTCATAACACGGAACAGATTTCGTTTAGAAGAAATGGAAATGAAAATAAACAAAGATATTTTTGTTACACGCCATTTACAATACAGAACATCAGACACGCTTTAATGCTCCTAATTACTGGTCACAGCTGATCGTAAGAGGTCTTTTCAGTTAACATTGGTCCAAACATTTACGCATTTCAGAAAATACACACGTACTTCATTTTCTGTTGAAATTATCAGATATAAGAACATGTTGAAATTTGCTGAATGACGGTGCTAGTGTACCACCCGATCTACATTCGAATTTTTACATTTCTCTAAGTCACCTAAACATTTAGTCCCTTAGTATCACTGGCGAGTCCTAGAGGGACGACGCAACTGTATCTACTATTTCGCTCAACGTCACTAGATTTATATCAAATAATGCTATTCACTTGTGTGGCTTTTCTACAATTTTAAACACTCTAGCTCGGTATTAAGATATCTTCAAATGTTTTCTTCCGTCATCTTACACGAGTCACGTACCATGGAGTCACACAATACCCATGTCATTTATGCTTTAATTTACATTCATATTCCTTCTATCTACCTCACCACACCCTTTAAAAATCCTCTACACAATACACATTTAACCGTTTAACTCTTTTTATTTAATGCTTAAAAAATTCGCTTTGTATTTGAAAGAATATACAAGATCGTGTTTGCACGATATCAATATAAAGTTGCTTGGTAGAATGTTTTGCGATAATGTCCAGGCAATGAAATTTCAGTATGATGGCACTAAAAAAATGTCCGTCAGTCGGTTCATCATAAATGGGAAAGTGCTATTACTAGAGTACACGGAATAAATCAATATTGATTATATACACTCTTCTATGCATCACAATGACTGTTATTTCCGCTCGTGATGTTTATATATTGATAATAGTGCACATTTCTCGGCTAGTGTACGGTTAACCTAACCGATTCTCCTTTAGGTTTTTAACGTTTTTGAGTATGTCGTTGTGTACAAACGTTCTGTGGAGAAGTCGGCACAAACAAGGGTTCATGGTCTCTCATTTGTCTCCATCATTTCATTTTGCAGACAACTTGATCTTCTTTGAATGTCAAACAGACATCGACCAGACATCCTGGTCCACTTCATCGGAGACCGATTTTCAGACAAAAATAATGGCTAACAACCGTTTTTTCAACCAAAGAACAAAACATGTTGTCTGGTTTGAGGCGGAATGCAATATGCCTGACAATTCAAACTGTGGACAAAACACAAGTATCGGTAAAACCAACGGATTCCCTACTTGTCGACTAGACATAACTTTATTCTATCTAAATTAGTCTTATTAAGTATAGGACTAATTTTAAATAAGAACTTAAAGCAATCTATTATAAAAGGCATTACGTTACCCAGGATACAGGGTCCATTGTATCTGCGTGGTTAGATTTAGGTTGTATTTCCTTTCTTATAGGCATACATGATCTAATTATTATCTGTAAGGGTTTTGAAAACTAGGATGTTGATGAGGACAATTATCAGGATCGTAATAAGTATGTAAATGAACTTAGATATTACCGATGTTTGTTATTATGTGTGATTGTTTGTGCCCCTGCTCTCATTTTGAGTACGCGCTATTCGTTTGATTTATCTAAAAGAATTAAGCAGGTGTTTCGTCGACTGAGAAAATGATAGTAAATCTCCTTGGATACCTGGTCGTGTTTATCTGAAGTATTATCATATATTTTTTTGTGTTCATCTTTTATTTCTTTGTATTTTACGATCGTTTATTCGATTTTAGCTTCAAGTAACGGTTTCGTCTACTCGGCGATTGTAATTAGTAAATGACGAAATTGAATTATGAAGTAAAGTAAGCAAAGCAAAGAAAAAAGAAAACACGTAAACTAACTAGACTAAAAAACAGGATTCAGCATTATCAAACAGAAAATGTACTTAAAGAATAAAACAGGAACATTGTGGTTCATTGTAGTTTCTGTAAGGTGCTGTATTCTCCGACGAAAAGTTGATTGCATGGTCTTTGATTAATAAAAAGTACCACGAATTGATCCAAAAACATTTTTGAAACTGATTTAAAGTCAGGCTCCTGGCAGGTACACGTTACAAGGAGCGTCTTAGCAAAAACACGTTCAATAAGTTATCATGATGTCAATAAAATCAACAGCGCGAAAATGAAATTACGTTTCAAAGAGGTTTTTGTCACATTTCCGAAAATGTACTTGTAAATGGTGAAGGCGATTGGTATTTTCATGACATTTTCGAACCCATTCAGGAAAAGACCAGGTGTGAAATTTACAATTGGTGTCTGCTGAACATATGATCATGACTTCATGTAGAAAAATTCTGTGTGCGCTTATTATGTAGGCCTTTATTCGTGTCAGAAAAAAACCGCCAGCAGCCATGATCCAGAGAAAACAATTTCCGTGTACAGGCGACTACATCCTTATAACAAAAGAAATTGCCTCATTTCCAAGAATTTTAATTTTGCTAGAATTCGTGAGAGAGGAACGAAGTATCAACTTCTCTTACGAGTGAAATTTCCACACATATCAGATAGATGTAATGTGTCCATGTGTACTAGAAAATTAGTGATTAGTTCTACATACAGAGGCCTGCAGACTCCTTAGAGATTCAGATAAGGAAAGTGACTTACCATGCAGGATCTGAACTAAAACAATTGCTGACCAACTAACCATTTCTTTCGAAAATCGAGTGAAAACTCATTTGAACTGAACGAGTTTGCGTTCCTGAGTAGAACTATTAAAACGGATAAATATTTCAATGATAAAGTTTGAAATCATTCAAAGTACATTTATCTCCTTTTTGTATCCAGTCAAAACGGTCAATAGTAATTCAAAACGGACATATTTTGTATTTGAGACACCGTGCCCATAGACTCTTGACGGCAGAAACATTCAAATGGGTCAAGACCTACGTTGACCTCTAGGTCAAATGGGTAAGCAACCTACATGACCTTAACGTATCACATAATTGTGTATTATGTCACTAAAGCCATCTTCTTCAAACATGTCAAGGACATTGGGGTCATTAAAAATTGCGATTCAGATCGTCTGTTAAATTTTCTGTTGAATATGACAAGTTTACTGCTGTATCTTAATTCAAAATAAGAATGTTAGAACATTGGCAAAACACTTCTCTATTGGAACAAAGGTTATCCTTGTTATACATCATGATGTAAACGACAGGCGAGGTACTCTCATGATGAAATGGTTCCTGTGATTAGGAAAGAGTTATTACATTTTTGTAGTATTCTTAACTAAACGTGTAGTCTTGGAGCGATGTTTGAACAAATATACCAATGCTTACCTCGTATGAAATCGACAGCCTGTTCCAGGCCGTATATATCTCTGTCGCAGTCGTCTTTCGCCAGGACACCAAGTCGAATACCCGGGATAAGGTTGTCATTGTTTACTTTGTCGATTGTAAACAACATAGTTTCAAGGGCCTGTATTCCACCCTGAGGCATGATGGGACCACATATCTTATCCTCGCTTCTTTCATGGACCATATGAAGGGCTCCAAGCACTATCTGACCAGTTTCACTCACAGACAAATCTCGCCGAGGCCATGTGTAGTTACCGTATTTTCCCACGATCTGAATCTGTTTCTCGTTTGCGATTGTACAGAACACAGCAAGGGAGTTTAACAGCATCACTACAGCAGTACAGCACATGGCAACTAGCCTGTAAAAACGGGAGTCCGATGCCATCATGACTAATCCTTTGTCCTGATTGTGGACGTGTAGCTTGGATTGATTTCCTCAAAGTTCCAACATAACAAATGCCGCCAATAAAAGAATTCCTTGAAGGATATATTCTTCACTTTAAAACAATAACCGAATAGAAAGGTTTGACTTTATGACACCACGAGACAATAAGCGATGTCAGTAATACTGGACGAGATTTATTATCTTAAGGTTTTTAAACTTACATAATACTTGATTACTTTCAAACTTCACATGGAAGCAGGATTTGAATTCAGAACATTCAAAGCAATACCAGTAGAAAGTAAACGAGAATTTATGGATTTCCAAACATAACGGTAATAAAAGTATTGCCTACAAAAAAAGGATTTCACACGCCTTTAAAATGCATTCGCCAAGGTCAGTAAGATATTAAATTATTTACTGATTATATTAGATCCACAATATTACTACCGTAGTAGAAGTTATAATAGTAAAATTTACAAAAAAATAAAAATAAAAACCTTAATGATGAACAAATTTAAAAGAAACGAAATTGTGTGTATTTCATAAATAATCGATGATATTGCAAGGAAATTTTAAATGCAGGACAGATACCACATTGTTCATGTAACACTGCAGATTTATCTTAAAGAACGATCCTGATAGCATGAGTGTAAATGTCCCTGATAACGCTGGGTAGAATGATACAGCAAGAAATATGAAATTCCGGTAAAGATGAAACAAATGGAATGTGTCGCTGTTATATCTGCTGTGTTATTTGGCTGATGAAGAAAATCTTATTTTTCTGAAAAAGGAAGAGAAATAAGATACATAGTATTACAAAATTCGAAACCATTCAGATAATTCAGATCATCTTTTTTCAAACAACCATTAACATTTTAATTTCATTTCTCTCTCAAGTTAATGTTGGCACATTGTTTTTTACTGTCTTATTAGTGTCCTTGCAATAACCTTCATGTCCACATTCGTAAAACAGTAACACTACCTGGGCCACTAGTACAGAGTGATCACATGGAATTGTTTTTCTGGTTCATGGGTCAAAGATTATGACATCTTTTTTAAATACTATCAATCACGCTTTGGTGTCCATAGAATTAATAACTTCTGCATTTATAGGTCATTTATATGTCCATATTTTGTTGTAGACATGTTGTTTGTGTAGATGGGTCCCATGAAATCGTTTTTATGTCATCAAGTCAACAGTTATGTGAGGTTTTTTTTTAATTTTTTTGTCAAGCGAAATAACAGTACCTTTACTTTCAGAGACTACATTCTCTATAATAAATTTGCATAATTACATTGATGTAGATCTGCAGAAATGAAAAATGCTGTCAGCCAAAATTGTATCTATAACAAATAAAAGTACAGCATTCGGTTGCTTAAGAGGACTTTCGGCGGAACAATAGAAATTTGTCCACGGACAAATTTCAACTTAACTGTGTGTTATTTAAAGCGCCTTGAGGGAGAAATCTAGAAATATATTAGAACAAATTCAAATCGTTTCTAGTGTCTGTGATCGATGTTACTAAACACAGGAATTTCTCATCATGGGTTTATCGTTATACTAATATATCAAGTACATTAATCAACAGACAATGTATGATGTGACGATATAATTATTATTGTATTTTGAGATATGATTTGGAGTCTTCCTTGTTTAGTAATATGTGATAAAAGAATCTATATTTAAAATAACAAACAGTTTCATTTTATCTAGATCTACACATTATTTGGACTCCATACCTGTCATGAGCCTTGTCACAGAAGATGGTTTTTCGATTTAGTCAGAAATAGTTAATAGAGATCATATATTTTTGTATTGTCGATAACCCCTTTTTCCAGTTTCAGATATTTTTAATTTATAGTGCAATTCATTACTGTTCGTTTTGAGACAAGTTAATGAATATATATACTTACAAATCATCATTTCAAACCACAACGGTTGACATAATTTCGAAAAATAACATTTCGTTGACATCACTACAACGGTTTGAAATATCCTTTTTCGCAACACTCATACCGTTATATAGTAAAAACAACAAAAACATTTGATTATTATACTAGTTTTTACCTTGGTCTTAAATGTATTTACTGCAATTCTAAAATTGGATTCCAGATTAGGGATAGAACATTGGAAAATCTTTTATCTTTGTGTTCCTTTTCCCAAATATTACTTTTCATGACATTTGTTTTCGAGAATGAATATAGCCAAACAAAGGCCCTTTAAGTAAAATATTTCATGACATTTGTTTCCGAGAATGAATATAGCAAAATAAAGGCCCTTTAAGTAAGTATATCAGTTCGTCGGAATATGAATTCCTCGATTAGGACTACCAACGACATTAACGAAAAATAATTATCCCACGAAAATTGATGGGTTTACAGTAATAACATTTGTAGCGATGAGTTTGGAGCATAAATAGAAAGTTAGAAATATAGATATAACGGCATGAAAAAGAAACATAAATATTGAAATACATCATGTAGCCATCAGTCTTTATCAAAGGCGACAGTAAAAACACAATGAATTAATGCCTCATAGGTCTTTACAAAGATATCGTTTAATTATATCATCAAGTCCTTTATGTTTCACTTCTGCTCTATCATTAAGTTCGGAATATTTTACACCTACTGAATATAAAACTTATCATAAATGACTTTTACTTAAGCTTCATCGCATGATCTAGACCTATAAAAACACCTTTATCATTCATCTACTGACTTTTTTCTATTTTTTTGGAATTTTTGTTTAGTTCTAAACGCAAGGTGTTAGTGATATAGGTCATAAATAGATCAAAATGTCTTATTAAGGGAGCTTGCTGTTCCCAGGCACTGAACGCAGAAAAAAATGTTCAAATGATATAGCATAGCACTTCGTAATGCTACGATCTGGTACTTTATCTTCTGAAATAAATACGATGACTTACCTTTAGCAAACGAGCAAGTACGTTTTTTCTTCGTAAGATGAAATACTCCGATAGCCATGGTCAGATTTGATACAACACTGTCCGTTTTTTGTATTTTAAATTACATGCCGGCAAGTCTAAAAAGTCAATCCATAACGACGCGGTAGCGTAAAGGAATATCTCCGGAGATAAAGACATTTACAGTATTAATAACCTGATCATTACAACTGTCGCCGTTTTATCAAGAATAGATGTGAGTCAAACTATCCAATTTCATTCACTTACATGTTCATATTTACACACTTTTATTTTCTGTAAAGACGATTACATGGCAACCGAGCCAACTCGCGACTACATAGTGATGAGCTTTTCTGGTTTTGTGAGTGAAGAGTTCTACGGCAGGTCATGTGATCCAATATTCACGCCTCGATGCAGTATGGCCTGTAGCGCACACGACCGTCCTCATTTCTATTCTTGGAGAAAAGATTTTCGCAAATTTGATTTATTCCGCGTGATATATTTTCTAGTATGATGGTACAGCTTGAGACATTTTCTCTAACAAATCTACGGCTAAGGCAGATTTTAGCGTTTCAGTTCCCTAAATGATTCTGCTAGGTTTAATAACAAGCGGCATATGCAGAATTTCACCGACATTCGGTAATAAATCAATTCATTTGTAAATTAAAAGGTATCCGGTGTTTACGAAAATATATCGAAGTTACATGCACTTTGTGTAAGATAACTGGTTGGATTTAGTTAAAACAAAACGGCAGGAAGACAATATTACGTTGATTGGGAACATATGGGATCTGATATTTGTATTATACAAAACGTTTTAAGGTTTGAATGCAGAATGGAAGGTCACTAGAAGATCAATGGCTCTGTAAGTCATGCTGATATAACTAGTATTACTTACAGGAAAGAATAAAAATATTAAATGGGATAGTGATAACTATGTGTTGTTCGTTTGTCATTTATATAATAGTAATCGTCATTGTCTTACTTAAAAGGTCTCAACAAATAGTGTACCCTTTCAAGGATTATTTATATGTCAACATACTGGTACATCACAAACTGTACTCGGTCACAAGACATCACCATCACTCCGTTTACATACATTTTGTGGTAATATTAAATTCTATTTCCATGACGTTAAACACAAAATATGTAACAAAATATTTGATGCAGTTGTAAATAATGCTTCCTCTCTAATTCTAACTTCTATAAATCTACAATATAAATAATTAGCTATGTCAGGGTGATCAGGCACCATACACATTATGAAAATTGATGTACATTGCATTGCCAATGATAAATTACATAGATTGAGACTCTTTTGTATACAAAGTATATAAGAGATGTAAAAGGAGATTCTATGATTATTTCCTCGTTTACAAAATTAATAAAGTAATATCTGAATATAGCAGAAATAACCTGTATTTGTTGTCAAGGATTTTTTGGGGCGGGAAAACCACTTTTCGTTCGTACTTGGGATTCATATATTCCTGATCATTCTTAATGATGTCTTACAATTTACATTCCAGAGAGATTCAAACCATTCAACTATATTAATCTCTAAGATATTAAGATATCCTACCCAATTCCGTTCGTGTGGCTTTAACGACAAAATGATATTATTGCATGCACGTAAGTTTCGATATTCAGGAAGGACAGAGAGTACTAACGAATAAATGATTTACCAATATCACTCTACCAGTGTGAAAGTATACAGGGATCAAGGGAGACATCAATAACACGTGAGGCGATTGATTCGGTACAACAACACTGTCTTCTGTCAGACTGCCGACAACGGAAATGTCTACACCGATAATTCACAGGATAAAGCTAAACATCTCGATTGGATAAGTCTATTGTAGCGTAATTCATATACGTAATTGGAATGTGAGGACTTTTAATCTTTTGAAGTGACAGATAACAAGATTACCTCAGCATGCAGCAAATGTTTACCATATGTTTTTCTCGTTACAGATAGTAAACAATCTGTCTGTCTGACCCCCTTCCGTCTGTCTGTCTGTCTGTTTGTGTCTGTCATTCTGACTGTCTGTCTGTCCGTCGAGGTTATATTAAAATGGTCTA